TCTTTCGATGTCCTTGCAAGTCAAGATTCTTGCAAAACCATATAATATCAGAAACATTGAATTCTCCAAAGATCTTCGTCACCTCCCTCACAAGAGTCCTAACTCCATCTGCCTGGTCTGCAATCCCGGAACACCTCAAGCTCATCATCATCTGTGATATTACATTGTTGGTTAACTTTAAGAGTTCCTGAGTGAGATTAACGCTCTCCCCCGATTTAGATTTTTGAAGCAGAATGGCGATAAAGTGGTTCAATTCCTGTGTTCTGATTGGGAGAAACTGGTTAAGCGTCCGGCTACCCAATAGCTCGTACGCGCTTAATTTTTTAATGAATTTCCAGTAAGGACCATAAGGAGCAAAAGCGAAGGAAGAGTGATATGTAAGATGATCAATTGCAAAAGTGTGTTTGCGGGCTGAGAAAGTGAGTTCGTTAGTCTTGAGGAATTCTTTTGCAAGTTCGGGACTGGAAGCAACCACGCAGGGGACAGAGCCAATGCGGAGATAAATTAAGGGACCATAGCGGGAGGATAGGTGGTGGAAGGTTTTGTGGATTAAGGGGCCGAGCAAATGGAGGTGGCCGATGACCGGTAAGGCCAGGGGGCCTGGAGGAAGCTTAGAAGTACTATTTATGAAAGATTTAAAGAAAGAAGGTGGAGATGATGAAAAGGGAAGCATAGAGGAGAGATAGCATCATGGCCATCTTGGCTCTTTAATTAGTAGAAGATGAAGATTGCTGAACACTTTCTCATTGAGTAGAATATATAGATAATTTTGTTAACTAAAAGACAAATAGGAAAAAAGAAAATTTAGGAAGTACAGATATTAATTTTGCACTTCCTGTGCACAACAATAATGTAGACATTATTTGCATTTGCGCTTTCGCGGCTACTGGCGTTAGGTTACATATAACTGTATTTTGTTATTTTTAGTGCAACGGCTCAAATTTGACTTTTTGTGAAATTGTTCAAAAAAAAAATAATGTAGATATTATTTTGTTTTATTTTTATATTAAAAATTTTATAAATAATTTTTATTTTTATATATTTTATCTTTAAAAAAATAAAAATAAAGAAACTTAAGATAAGATTAATAATTAAAATTAAAAAATAATCACATAATTAATTTTTAAAAAAATATTTGTATCCATTAAAACAAAAAAAACTGTCTAATCCTTTTTGTTCATCTCAGTCACGTGGCATCTTTGGGGCCTAAGAAATGAAAGTGATCTTTAAAAAGTTGTAGATGGAATTTGATACGTTAGTGGAGGTAATTCAAATTAAAGGATAGAGTTGGTGGATGTGGATTCTCATTATATGATTGGATTATTTATTTGGAGAGCTGTGTTTCAAAGTAATAAATGTTTAAATCATAATAGTAAAATGTGATATAAATGGGTAGGTGTACCTTTTATACTTGAACATAGTAAAATTTTATTTTGATGATAAAAAAAGAAAATTGACTACTCTATTTATTTCAAAATAAATGTTATTTTTTATTTTTTTAATTAAATATTTA